TCAAAATCTTGCACTAGATCCCCAGTTTGTCTACGATGTAGTGGGAGCCATGACAGCTCAGATTGCAGCGAGGACCTTAAGTGTAAAAATTGTGATGGTCATCATATGGCCTCTTCAAAATCTTGCCCTGTTTGGATTTTAGAATCTAAAATACTTAAAATAAAACATACCAACAACATCACTTATCATGATGCACGAAAACTGGTTGTTCCCACGCTTCCAACAACTACATCAACCTTATCTTATTCTGCTGCAGTATCCCGTTCCACTCAAACAAATTCTATCACATGTCAGACTGATCTTACTTGGGTCCACTCTGATCAGCCCCCTTAAAATGGCACCCATGAGTCAGAATAAAGGAACATCTACATCATCATCTGACACAGATATTCAGCCTACGAGCGAGCCTGCAAAGCAACCTACCAGTCAGCCTGCTAGTCAGTCTGCACGTCAGTCTACACGTCAGCCTGAACAAAGTACTGAACATGAAATATTCAAAAAAAGGAAAGGAAAAGACAAAACAAAAAACAAACTCAAAGAAGCCCTTTTTCCTGAGATACCTCTTACTAAACTGTTTGGGCCTCTGGATATGGAGGTGACCCTGTCTTCAGAAGACAGAGGTGACCCTGTCTTCACAAGACAGAGGTAGAAATCCTTCTTCCTCACGATCACGTGAGAGGTCACCTATTGAACCATCGTGACTCCATCAAATAACGATAGACACAGTCGCTATACACACGAGTATCTTTTAAAAAGTGAGGATCCTCCGTTCTGTGTCCCTTGTGATGACAGAATCACAGTCAAGCATGTTTTGCTTGACTGTGTTGATTTTTCTCTCACAAGGGATAAATATTATCATCAACATCTTTAAAGGATCTTTTTATAATATCAGTGCTCATTTAATTCTCGGTTTTTTAAAAGAAATACTATTATTTGATAAATTTGGAATTGTTTTTAGAATAGTTGGATATTATTGTCAACTGAGATGTATGAAGGCAGTGCCACTGAGGGGGTTAAAGCAGTGTAAAATTATTGTCCCCCTGACAGTGGCACGTGAGTCCATCTATATTGAAGTAATTAATATCAACTAGTGTTTTAATTCCTTGATTGTGTTTTGATTTTTTAATATTGGTTAATATTTCATACAACCACTCGTGACCAAAGTGATGGCATAAATCCTGCTGGGAATCATGCAGGAAGCAAAAGCACTGTAAGTCCCCATGATCCCCAGTTAGGTGGTCTAGCTTTGGTCGCCAGTGGTCTCTAGCCAGGTTTTACTTTCTAATAACTCATGTACTGAAAACGTCTTTGTTTAACTATTGCTCAGGTAAGTTTTATGTCTACACTGTGATAATTACCTTACTGTTTTACTGTCCTTTGACGACAAGATTTTATTATAATCAATTTGTTCTTATAGCAATATGGCTGCAATATTGCTGATGCGAAGTAAAATTATAACTCACTCACTCACTTTGATCATAAGTTATCTTTTATACCTCATATAAAACATCTAAAGGCTAAATGTTTGAAAGCACTTGATGTCCTTAAGGTAGTATCAAATGCAAAATGGGGTGGAGACCAACAAACTCTGTTACATCTATATAGAACATTGATTCGATCTAAACTGGATTACAGTTGTTTCATATATGGTTCAGCCCGACAATTATACATTAAAGAGCTTGACACCATTCACCATCAAGGTCTTAGCTTGTGTCTGGGTGCATTTCGAACTTCTCCTGGTGAATGTTTATATGTTGAAGCTGCTGAACCTTGTCTCGATATCAGAAGAATAAAACTGGCACTCAAATACGTTACGAAACTTCATTCCAATCGATCCAATCCAGCTTTTTACATTGTTTTTAATCCTCCTTATCAGACTTTGCATGATAAGAAACCAAGCTCAATTCCTCCACTTGGTATCCGTATTCAACAGCACACCACAGCACATTACATTATGCGGATCTAAACATTTCTTCAATTGCAACTTGTAAACTACCTGAAGTGCCAGTGGCAGTCAATTCAGCCTACTGTTAACGAGTTAACGAACTGGAAAAAGGCAGATACCAACTCCTTATCTTACCAACAAGCCTTCCTAGAACTTAGACATAAATATACAGGGTATACAAGCATATACACTGAGGGATAAAAAAATGGTGATAAGGCCTTATATAGTTCTGCCAAATTATTATCAATGAAAACCGTATTTCATGCTTGGAAGACAGCTTTGTGTCTTCAAAATATTGTCAGGCCTCGATATAGGAGATGAGCTTTTGGGAGCTAGCCCAAAAACAAGAGATGAGAGAGCTATGAGTTTATTGGATTTATTCGAGCAAGTGTGAGACACATCATTCAAAATACATTATTTCATATATAAGAATGGCATACAGTGACAACAATTATGAGAATAATATCCTAATACAGTTTCATTCTAAATCTGGTATGTGCGGTAAATGCTCACATTGATCATTGTTCCCGGTTAGGTGGTCTAGCTTTGGTTGCTAGTGGTCTATAGCCAGGTTTTAATTTATAGGAAATAATCTGCTAAAAAAATCTTTGTTTTATTATTGCTTAGTTTGTTTTATATCTAATCTGTGATATTTACCTTCTTGATTTACTGTCCTTTGTCGACAGGTCTTTAATTGTAGAAACTACCTTGTTCCCATCGCGATATGGCTGCAATACTGCCGATGCGATGTAAAATTTTAACTCACTCACTCATAACATTATCTAGAGAAATAAGGGCAATGATTAATGTTTTTACTTAACAGATACATTGAGTAATTATACCATTTTTATAAAACATGTACGGTAAACGATTTATGCCTATCGTTAACATTAATTTGATTATTAAATATACAAACGAATAGCATACATAGCAACTGTGCGGATTGATTGGATTAGGGACCTGACATTTACTTCGGTAAAGACGGTAAACATTCATACCTGTAGTTTTCGGAATAATTTTACATCATACTAATAATACGTAAGTAATAAGAGGGTGATTGATTATCCGAATGCACATGGTTAAAGAGACAGCTCACTTTTACCGAAAAAATGGTATGTTTCCGTAGTGATTATTTTGGTGACTACGGCAATGTATCACAACGACGATGTTGTTATTACGTGCACTTCCGATACACACGGAGCGAGACAATACTGGGTAATAGAGAGAGTAGACTCGTGTAGACCCGGGGTGGGTAGAATGGGTCTTCGTATGCTTTCCGTCAAAGGTGACCATGCTTGTCGTAAAAGGCGACTAACGGGATCGGGTGGTCAATTATTCGAATATTACAGGCCGTCGTCATATAGCTGTAATATTACTGAATGCGGCGTTATAAAACAAACAAACATTGTATCTGAACACAAATTTTTATCTGAATCCATCAGGCCATTACGGAGAAGTCAAAATTAAAATGTTCAAACCTGACGATGACGGACGACTTGCGTTCGCAAGTTTGGCTTCTGCAAAAGGAATTTTAGTAATATGAACGAGTGCCAGCTTGATGTTAGATATTAATTCCTGATAAAACTTGAGAACTTCAATTTAATATTGGCATAGAAAAGATACATTTCGTACAAAGGCATCAAAGAACAGATGCGATCAATTTTGAAATAAATAATAATCTGTGACCTCTGGTAGTGGAAGATAAATGTTGCTGTGATAATATTGTTAAGACGCCGTGTATTCAGACTGTATATATACTCCAACAGTGAGACATGTTGACAAAGATTTATGTCGCTTAAATTTATTTATTTTGCAGTTGTGTGTGTTAGAAAAAATGTAAGCATTTTACTGTAAGTTTGAGCAAGAGCATTAGCAATATGCGAACCATTCTCGGCGAGAATTCTTTTTAGAAAATGATGACAAGATCACTAAAACTTCAGTCCATTATCACAGGCAACCGGGGGCACTGGTGGCCCAGTCGTCTAAGGCGCCGCAATTGCAGTCGCGTCCCTTGGGCATGTAAGAAACCTATGATTGTGGGTTCGACACCCGGTTTGCCCCTATAATGTTTCTAGGTTTGTCAGCACCAGACTCATGCTCGTGGGTTCACACCGTAGTGGTAAACGTCAGAGACCTGCATCACTTCGGGCTTTCCTCTAACATTAATCTGACACGCCGTGATATAACTGGAATACTGTTAAAAGCGGCGTTACATCCAACTCACTCACTATCACAGTAAACCGTGTCTGAGCAAGAAAGTGATGATAAAGCATCAGTGTGAAATGCCCTAAACCATCATTCTTCCATACAGAACTTTAGAAGCATTCAGATCTAGCGATTACAATAGAAACACTTGCCAAACCAGACTTTAATTGAGTTTAAGCTAATTCAGTTTTTCAGTTAAATCAGGGCGGACCAGCTTTATGAGGGAGGAAGCCTGAAATGATGCAGGTTTTAGACATTCACCAGGATGCACAGGGAATTGCGTCAACTTTCAGGGCCACCCATGCCCCTTATCAGACTTAACTGCTTAACAGACTATAATTTAACCCCTGAAGATCCTGGTAGAGAATTGGTCTTCAGCAACCCATGCTTGTCGTATGAGGCGACTAACGGGATCGGGTAGTCAGGCTCACTGGCTCACTGACTTGGTTAACACTGCATGTTATCGTATCTCAGTTGCGTAGATAGATGCTCATGATATCAACCACTGGATTGTCTTGTCCAGATTCGATTATTTACAGACCGCCGTCACATAGCTGGAATAGTGCTGAGTTCGGCGTTAAACAACAAAACAACATAACTAATTCAAAGATTGAAACGTGTCATTACAGCAAATATATCTCTTAATAAAGGACTTCATTAACAGTTTGATCAATTGTTGAGCCAATAAGTAACACGTTTTTCCGATGATAAGTATTGCGAATGGAAAATAATAACTGTGAAATGTGCCATGGCAGCAATATTGTGAAATGAATCTTGGTATGTCCTTGCCACCCTGACATTTAATGACTATTTTATTAAAAGCGACAATATATAAACCGGTGTGTCCCATCCTGATAATACAGTCTACGGTGATGCTGAGAACAGTAAGTTAATGGGTTTGTCCGTATGAATTAGGAGATCAACCTGCTGCCTTTTTCAATGTACAGTTTGGTTACAACTATTTGATAATCTGGGAGGGTACAGCTTTGTTACCGGTAGATCTAAGGGTCCAACTATTTGATAATCTGGGAGGGTATAGCTTAGTAACCTATAGATCTAAGGGTCCAACTATTTGATAATCTGGGAGGGTATAGCTTGGTTACGGTTAATCTAAGGGTCCAACTATTTGATAATCTGGGTGGGTATAGCTTAGTAACCTATAGATCTAAGGGTCCAACTATTTGATAATCTGGGAGGGTATAGCTTGGTTACGGGTAGATCTAAGGGTCCAATTATTAGATAATCTGGGAGGGTATAGCTTGGTAACCTGTAGATCTAAGGGTCCCACTATTTGATAATCTGGGAGGGTACAGCTTGGTTACCGGTTGATCTAAGGGTCCAATTATTAGATAATCTGGGAGGGTATAGCTTGCTTACGGGTAGATCTAAGGGTCCAACTTTTTCATAATCGGGGAGGGTATAGCTTGGTAACCTGTAGATCTAAGGGTTCAACTATTTGATAATCTGGGAGGGTACAGCTTGGTTACCGGTTGATCTAAGGGTCCAATTATTAGATAATCTGGGAGGGTATAGCACACACACACACACTTAATCCTGTTTTACTAGCTTCCGGCCTCATTGGCTTCAGCATCATGTGTTCTCTGTCCATCGTGTTGTTAGGGCGGTCTGGTAGCCTAGTGGTTAAAGTGTTTGATTCCCGACATGAGGACAATGTGTGAAGCCTATTTCTGGTCCCCCCGCCGTGGTATTGCTAGAATATAGCTAAAAGCGGCGTAAAACTTCACTCACGCACACACTCATGTTGTTACAGGTTTTTTTCCCTTCTGTTGTCATTGTTTAACCTACTCATGTTAATCTCTCTGATATATGCAATTGTTGTAAATGTTAATCCTCCACCTACTATATATATACTCTGTATACGTACCATGCTTATTATTCAGCCTTGCTTGACAACGGTATCAGGATCTATACCGAAACGTCGCCTTTACAGTAAATAAAGAAGTTGTGTCCCATACATTACCTCTACTTTGCCAAGTGTCATGTATGGCTCATTATTGTTTGGATACACGTAGAGTGTGCAACAGAAAATTACTGATATAAGTATTTATGATGTAAATAACCGTTATGTTTTAAAAATAACGGCTGTCAATGCCCAGAATATATCAAATACTCAATGACACCCGACCGCCTTCGCGGTCTAGTGGTAAAGCATCGGCCCGGACAGTGGAAGGTTCGAGGTTCATACCAAAAGACGTTAAAAGATGATACTTGTTGTTACCCTGGCGCTCGCCATTAAGGGGCTGAAAAAAGGACTGGTCGGCTCGAAATCAGTATACTGTGTCTGAGTGGGATATTCATGTTAAACTGCGTGATATCTTAGTTAGCTGGCACTATAAATCGGCATCAGTCCGGACTAGCACAAGCAGCCTCACACATACACGCACAAACACACACGGGTGGCTATATAAGTGCAAAAATCTTGGACGCGACGTTAAGCCCAATTTCACCTCAATGAGGGGGCACGAGTGACCCAGTCGTTTCAGGCGCCGCGATTCGCTGTGCAGAATTGCGTCCCTTGTACACGCCAGAAACATATGATTGTTGGTTCGACTCCCGGTTCGCCCCAATTATCCTTCTAGGTTTGTCAGCACCATACCCGTGCTCGTTGGTTTCCCCGAAGTGGTAAACGTGTGAGACCTGCATCACTTCGGGCTTTCCTCCCAGATTAAGCTGATACGCCGCGATATAACTGGAATTCTGTTAAAAGCAGTGTTAAACTCAACTCACTCACTCACCTCAATGACACCCGCAAATCTTCAAACACGTAATGTTTATCTCTGGATTTGAAACGTCAAGTGTATCTTAGTTCATTTTTTATCTGTTCAGGAAATCATGGGACGGATCTTGCTCTTTGTGGTGCTGCTGCAATTCTTGCCCTGCCAGTCGATCGGTAAGTAACTTACATTGATTGACATCAAACTTAGTTTAAAAAGTAAGTGTAAATGTACCACAATGGCGGACCGCTTGCAACGACATAAGCTCATATGGCCAGGTGAGCTATAAAAGGTTGTCAGCTAAACTAACCTAACCTAACCTCACTTCACATATACATAGACGCTCCAACAGACGTCAACAGGATTCGCTGTATTTGTCAGGCTGTCAGATATGCTCCAGAAATACGTGGTAGAATAGGGCTTCAACACCCCATGCTTGCGATAAAAGGCGACTATGCTTGTCGAAAGAGGCGACTAACGGGATCGGGTGGTCAGACTTGCTGACTTGGCTGATGCATGTCATCATATTCCAATTGGGTGGAATGATATTCATGATGTCAGTCGGTGGATTGTCTGGTCCCGACTGGATTATTAAGAGAGTGCGGCGTTTAACAAAAACGAAGACCCAGATGCTAATGGACGGTTTTCGCCTGTTTATCGTCGACCGCCTCCGTGGTATAAGTGCAATAGTCTTGGACGCGACGTTAATCCCCATTTCACATCACCTGTTTATCGTCATCAGTCTCACGTGTACATGTCCTTATTTTCCAGACATTTGCCGTGGAACAAAAATTCGTATGGATAACTTTTTGAGTCGAATGCCTTATTTCAAAAGAAATCAGACCATGGACGATTCAACCCTGCAAGGTAACGCATACACGATCCCAGGCGACGGATTGCTGTTGGACTACCCCCCAGGCGTTGGGCACTGTGGTGGAAAGTACCCGATTTGGGAGAAAGGTAGATAGAGACATAATTTGTACCTTCACATGAAGTATAGTTCTCTTTAAACATTGGTTTGCTCGATTTTTTACAGACCGCCGTCATACAGCTGGAACATTGCTGAGTGCGGCGTTAAACGACAAACAATCATATGTATGACTGTGTTATGTTGATCCAGACAGAATAGAACACATGTGAACGTGACCACGATCAAACACTCTAACCATTAAGCTAACTGTCCTTTCCTTATAATTCGACTGTTTACAGCGATTTTAAGCCGAATATGTTCATGTATCGTCAATATTCTCTTTCATGTAAAAAATCATTTATTATGTAACCCTTCAGCGAGCATGGTACAATTCTATATCATTCCTGATGTGTGATATTTACTTTGCGAAAACATATTTGGGCAATGAACTCACTGAAATACCTTGAGATCCCGTATATATTTACGTCTATGCTAATAAAGGTGTGGTGAAATGGGGTTTAACATTAAGTTTATTGCACTTATATAGCGACGTGCATGGCTGCTTGTGCTCGTCCGGACTGATGCCGATTTATAGTGCTAGCACAGTGAGATACCATGCCGCAGTTTAAGATGAATAGCCCACTCAGACACAGTATACTGACTCTGAGCCGACAAGACGAGCGCCAGACGGGGTAGCAACAAGTACCATCTTTTAACGTCTTTTGGTATGACGCGGTCTGGGATCGAACCCCGGACCTTCCGCTCTCCGGGCGGACGCTCTACCACAAGACCACGGAGGCGGTCCGTATGATAATAGAGGCGACGCGTATGCATCTGTGTGACTCTGCTTGGACTAAACCGGGATTATGCCAGGTTTTGAGTGCACACAGAGATACCCTGCCGCATCGATTATTGAGAATTAAAACTAGTTCATGTCAGGAGTTCGTCTGCATACTATACATCTTTATTCAAATGGTTAATCACATCGATATTATAAGATAAATGGAGAATCTCACCCAAGTGTCTTTTGATATCAAACAGATCTCCACGAGTTGGAGTTTCAAACTTTTATCAACGAGTGTTCATATATTTGATATCAATAGACACAAGGGTTAGATTCAGTTTATCATCCAACTTTTTCAGTTTGTAGACAGTAATAAACAGTGTCTTAAGTGTAACAAATACTGCCAACAGCTTCAGTAGCAGAGCCATTGGTGACGTCATTTGATTATGACGTCATGGTAACCAATGACGTCAATGTAGATAACGCTTGATCTCACTCAAGCGATTTATCTTGTAGGAGCCAGTTTTGTTGACAAACGTGAATCTGTTTTTTTACAGAACGTAGACAAGGAAAATCCGTGATGTGCATACAGAATGAGCAAGAAACATGTTTCAAGGAATTTGAGATCTTGACTCAATATTGCGGTAGTGATGTGTTTCAACTGAGAACTAATGTGACAGGGAGCGTCTTCTGTGTTCGTAAGTACATTCACATTATCTTATCAGTCTACGGAATTATCATTAGATGTACAAGTTAATTTTCAGGCAGCTTGCACAGAAATCAAACCAGTTTGCAAAACGTAACTGAAAACTAGCTAATACATTTGATTCATTAAGTAATACAAACAGAAGAGGAAAAAAATGGTTCTCATCGTCGTTCGGGTCATTTTAAATCTCGAGTCAATCCTTTTGTTTGTGTCGTGCTGAGTCATTCCTAATTTTCAGCATTTTAGATTTCAATCTTCAATTAAAGTTCTTTCCTTGACTGTATGTATTCCAAATGGCCCGGTAATCGGGAAGCTTGCAATATATTTAAACTCTCTGTTTCGTAGGTATTTTTTGTTCGCCTTTTGAAAACATGTACATAAAAATGTGGCTAAAATGGAAGATTGGCCGCTTTACCATATTTAAAATCTTGAATTGATGAGAAATTCGTTTGTGTATGGCCTACATATGCATGTTGTAGTATTTCCAACACACGCTGCGCGAGTCGTATGTCATAGTGTTACGTAGTTCCTAGATCTCGTCACACTCAAGTATCCTGCAATGAACTGTTTTGTGTACAAATGTCCACTATTTAAACTATTAGAACTCAATAATGACTCAATATGTGAGTACGACACCCCTCATGATGTCAATCGCTGGATTGTCTGGCCCAGGCTCGATTATTAAAGGACCGCCGTCATACAGCTGGAATATTGCTGAGTGCGGCGTTAAACAAGCAACAAACAAACAACAACAATCGATGCTTTAAGTTGTAATTTCTCTCAAAGCATAGAAGTAACTTTAGACACACGGTATGAATACAGTTTATTAGTGAATCGTCCCATGTATCACAGAGTACCAAATGATTTGCAGCCGTGTCTGTCTACATTAACATCCACACCTCGAAAATCTCTATCTAAACATCGACAGCATTATCAATTATGTCCTCTTACCTTTTTTCCAGAACCCAATTTCTGTTCTGGTTACCCCTGTCACAATGGAGGTACATGCAAATCGAAGCGTGATGGTTTTTCCTGCACCTGTCCTACAGGCCTCTTTGGACCTACATGTGAAGGAGGTAGGTGGGATGTCCTTCTTCTAAATCTTCCTTAGGATCAACATTTAATTTTCTAGGTTGGGATTTTGTGTTAAAAATACAATGTGATCCAAAAATCATTGGTGATTTAAGATTTAAATTAGGTTTTGAGAAAAAATAAATTTGTTTGCTGGTGTCCTGAAAAAATATGAACTGAAAAATAATGAGATAAAACTACGTCTGAAACAGTAACAATCAGACATTCTGTACAGTAAACTACGGTTATATGGAACTCGAAGGGACCACTAATTTTACTTAGTAAGTTCGTTTTATCAGTCGCTTCGTTGTAAGCGTGTTCGTTATAACCATTGTTTACTGTAAATGGTTTCTGCCTGCAGATCCATGTGTTCACAAGAGCCCATTGCCTCGTCTGGATGAACGACAGCCTTCTAACCGGGTGATAGGGGAAACCAATGATGACCGTCTCCCGATAGGCTGGTACGAAGTGCCTCGTGGGATAAAACCCCTTAATCGCTTGCCAACTGTCCCTTCTTGCGGGACAAACAATCCAATATGGAGTGCAGGTTGGTAACATATAATTATAGGTAAACATGTGTATAATAGTATATAACTGGCATGTCGACAGATCAGCTGTGTCCACTGATCATGTGTGGATATTTTACTAACTGTGTCGACTGACCATGTGTGGATGTATAACCAGCTGTGTCGACTGACCATGTTTAGATATGTAACTAGCTGTGTCGACTGACCATGTTTAGATATATAACTAGCTGTGTCGACTGACCATGTGTGGATATATTACTTACTGTGTCTACTGACCATGTGTGGATATATAATTAGCTATGTCGACTAACCATGTATGGATATATATTTAACTGTATCGACTGATCATGTAAGGATATATAACTAGCTGTGTCGACTGACCATGTAAGGAAATATAACTAGCTGTGTTTACTGACCATGTGAGGATATATAACTAGCTGTGTTTACTGACCATGTAAGGATATATCACTAGCTGTGTCGACTGACCATGTAAGGAAATATAACTAGCTGTGTTTACTGATCATGTAAGGAAATATAACTAGCTGTGTTTACTGACCATGTGAGGATATATAACCAGATGTGTCGACTGACCATTTAAGAAAATATAACTAGCTGTGTTTACTGACCGTGTGTGGTTATATAACCAGATGTGTCGACTGACCGTGTAAGGAAATATAACTAGCTGTGTTGACTGACCTTGTAAGGAAATATATCTAGCTGTGTCCACTGACCACGTAAGGATATATAACCAGCTGTGACGACTGACCATGTAAGGATATATAACTAGCTGTGTCGACTGACCATGTAAGGATATACAACTAGCTGTGTCAACTGACCATGTAAGGATATATAACTAGCTGTGTCGACTGACCATGTAAGGATATATAACTAGCTGTGTCGACTGACCAAGTAAGGATATATAACTAGCTGAGTCGACTGACCATGTAAGGATATATAACTAGCTGTGTCGACTGACCATGAAAGGATATATAACCAGCTGTGTCGACTGACCATGTAAGGATATAGAACTAGCTGTGTCGACTGACCATGTAAGGATATATAATTAGCTGTGTCGACTGACCATGTAAGGATATATAACTAGCTATATATATATATATATATATATATATATATATATACTCACACGCAAAAGAAACGCTAGTCGGGCATGCAGTAGACAAGAAATACTATTAGGGCAAGATTGACAAAAAATGACTGAAGAAAGTTTAGTGGATTAAAAGGCAGATGACATCAAATACAACTTCTAATGTTAAGGGCTTACACAGTTTCGGGTAACTACCCAAAATGTCTGTCACCATTCGCATTGATCACTGCCACACATCTCTTGCACATTGAGTGGATCAGACGATTTGTGAAGGCCCTAGGGATCCTCCTGCACACATCCAGAGCAGCTGTGGATAGTACATCGGCAGTTGTAGGGACTGGGCGCACATTGTGCAGACGCCTTTGAACCAAATCACACAAGTGTTCGATGGGGTTCAGATCAGGGCCGAGGGCTGGCCAAGGTAGAACACGGATGTTGTGTTGTTACAGACAAGCTCTGGCAACATGGGGACGAGCATTGTCCTGCTGGAAAATGTGTTGTTGATGTTGTGCACACACAAAAATGAACAACGTGGGGTCTGATCACTTGGTCGAGATACCGCTGAGCAGTGACGCCGTGTCCCCGACCTTGACCAATATTCAGAAAGCACATGGGTCCAAGTCTCGCTTAAGTCCAATCTCCGCCCATATCAATGACGGTATGTCCACACCATGGATCCCCTTCTGTCAGCGAAACGATCACCTCGACGCCTCCAAATTCTGACTCTTCCGTCTGCATGGAAAACACAAAAGCGACTTTCATCAGAGAAGATGACACGCTTCCACTCACGATGATGCGAATTGTGACCCTGTGCCCACTGAAGTCATGCTTGTCGATGCCGTGGTTGGAGAACAGGACGACGTGCTGGTCGGCGACATCTGAGGTTGTTGGAATGGAGACGTCGGATCACAGTGCCCCGGCTAATGTGTCCATTATGTGTTCCTATGGTCTGTCGAGCACTTTCACTTGCAGTTAGGAACGGATGTCGCTGGTGTTGACGGGTAATCTGCCGATCTTGGCGAGGTGTGGTGACCCTAGGACGACGGCTCCGAGGAAGGTCATCTGTAGTCTGTGTATCATATCGATGCAGGAGACGGTAAATTGTGGTTATGTTAACGTTAAAATGACGGGCAACATCTTGGACAGACTCTCCAGCTTCCAAAGGTCCGAGAGCCTTGTTTCTCTGAATTTGAGTTTGGCATGGCATTGTTAACCAAGTAGTGGTAGGTCCAAGAATCGGCCACTGTTTTATACCAATTACAGTTCGTGACAGTTCGTGAATTTTCGATTTCGCGAGAAATGGATGGATGATACCCATATATTCATTGAAATGGTGCGTTTTGGCGTTTCGTTTTTTATGTTGAGTTTTCACTCGGGGCTTCCAAAATGCAACCAAAAATGTTGATAAGACCGTCAGGCTTCACTACATGCTAAAACTCGTATCAATTTATGGTTCCCTGTTTGTTACCTATTTGCTTTAAAACCACTTGCAGTGCTTTTGCGTATGAGTTGTATATAACTGAGGCGACTGATCATACTCACACACCCACACATCCAAACACCCTCACTCACTCAACGACCCACCCACCCAAATCCGGGGCCACTCACTCACTCACTCACTCACTCACTCACTCACTCACTGATTATACTCAAACACCCACACACCCTCACTCACTCAACGACCCACACACCCAAATTCGGGGCCACTCACTCACTCACTCAAATCCAGGGCCACTCACTCACTCACTCACTACTCACTCGGGGCGGTCGGGTAGCATAGTAGTTAAAGCGTTCACTCATCACGCCGAAGACTTGGTTCGATTCCCGACATGGGTACAATGTGTGAAGCCCATTTCTGGTGTCCCCTGCCGTGATATTGCTAAAAGCGGCCTAAAACCGTACTCACTCACTGTCTCACTCACTCATTCATTTATTGTTGCAGGAACATGGAGCAACCTGGATTTCATGTGCGAAGAAAGTGCTTACAATAGCTGTTTCGAACCCTTCTTTGTCCTGTCAGCAACTTGTGGAAGAAATAAAGTCTATTCTCTGAACGGCGGTAGCTTTTGGGATCCTATCAACTTTTGTTTTGGTAATGTATACTTATGATGCATATCGAGTGTAGAAGTGGCGCATGCATCAGGTTTCAGGAGACATATTCGCTTTTCCAGCGATTATAATTGATTCATACTGGCAGTTTAATGTAATATTGTTCTAAGGTGATATTTTGTATTTATTTCGTAGCATAAGTCGTCATATGCGAATGAGGAACATTGTACAGAATATATAGTAGGTGGAGGAATAACAGCAGAAGATTAGCAGTAAGAACAAAGGCATACATAAATGGGATAACATGAATAAGTAATGACAACAGAAGGATAATACTCACAACATGCTTTAACCCGTAGATTGTGTCTTCCAAGTCATGCCTATCAAACAATTCATCTGCTGTTGTGCAAATAATATCATAAAATATGACATGACGGAAGTTGTACACATATGATCGCCGAAACTCATCAGGAGTGTTACAGAATGTAGCAGCTTTATTGTTTTTATCTTAATGAAAAAAAAATTGTACTAGAAAAAAACAAATTTGTACATCTGGGAAAAGGTGAAGCACCAGTCCTGTATTTTCATCAAATCATAAAGAAAGAAAGGTTTGTGTTAAAGACTGTGTTTCCACAGATTGTCATTGGTCGAAAGAAAGGAAAGTGAGTTTGGGTTTCAGGTAGTTTGTAGTAGATAATCTGTGACTGGGTAATTGTGGGTAAAAATAGATTTGTTCAATGAAAACCGGAGTAAGAATTCAATTTCCAACCACATGACCCCTAACATGTTTGAAATGTAGATGTGTGCCGAAAATAGCAAATTTATTGATTTTCAAAGTTAAGATGTCTAAGATACCTATCACCTGTTGCGTATTTTTCAAAATCAAAACTTCATTTTAAAAAGTTTTAGATCAAATTTTATTTTGATAAATATAAAATCAACTTAGAGGAACAGTTCCGATCGCAAGAGCATGATTGAGGATGATTGGAGCTTGCCAATCGATCGATACTGGAAAGTTATCACTAAGATTAAGTTTTGCTGTTTTTCAAAGTTATAGATCACACTTAACAAACACATTTACTTATTTCAGCCCTTTATATTTCCAACAAGATACATGTTCTTAATTCAGCACTTAATATTTCCAACAAGACACATGTACTTATTTCAGCACTTAATATTTCGAACAAGACACATTTCCGATCATGTGGAGAAGCAGAGTAGCAATCTTCAAATAACTATTACCGTGAAAGATGTTGTGTGTTGGTCACTGTATTTCGATATCGGTATGAAACTTAATAAACACCAACTGTATAGGATACAATATTTAATATGTGCTATTTTACATGGCTATTATATAGTTATGTTTGCTTAATTATTTTACATGTGTATATAAAATAAGATAAAAAATAACCACAACAATGTATTGTAATCGTATATGTTCCATGAAACAATGGTATATGCTGTAGGTAACAATGGTATATATACATGTAACAATGGTATATTTCCAATGTAACAATGGTATATGAACATGTTACAATGGTATATGTTACATGTAACATTGGTATATGTACATGTAACAATGGTAGATGTTCCATGTAACAATGGTATATGTACATGTAACACTGGTATATGATCCATGTAACAATGGTATATGATCCATGTAACATTGGTATATGTACATGTGACACTGGTATATGATACATGTAACACTGGTATATGATACATGTAACAATGGTAGATGCTCCATGTGACAATGGTATATGAACATGTAACACTGGTATATGTTACATGTAACATTGGTATATGTACATGTAACAATGGTAGATGTTCCATGTAACAATGGTATATGTACATGTAACACTGGTATATGATCCATGTAACAATGGTATATGATCCATGTAACATTGGTATATGTACATGTGACACTGGTATATGATACATGTAACACTGGTATATGATACATGTAACAATGGTAGATGCTCCATGTGACAATGGTATATGAACATGTGACACTGGTATATGCTCCATGTAACAATGGTATATGATCCATGTAACAATGGTATATGATCCATGTAACAATGGTATATGATCCATGTAACAATGGTATATGAACATGTAACACTGGTATATGAACATGTAACAATGGTATATGTACATGTGACACTGGTATATGATCCATGTAACAATGGTATATGATCCATGTAACAATGGTATATGATCCATGTAACAATGGTATATGTTACATGTAACACTGGTATATGAACATGTAACAATGGTATATGAACATGTAACACTGGTATATGAACATGTAACAATGGTATATGTACATGTGACACTGGTATATGATCCATGTAACAATGGTATATGATCCATGTAACAATGGTATAAGATCCATGTAACAATGGTATATGTTACATGTAACACTGGTATATGAACATGTAACAATGGTATATGTACATGTGACACTGGTATATGATCCATGTAACAATGGTATATGATCCATGTAACAATGGTATATGATCCATGTAACAATGGTATATGATCCATGTAACAATGGTATAAGATCCATGTAACAATGGTATATGTTACATGTAACACTGGTATATGAACATGTAACAATGGTATATGCTCCATGTAACAATGGTATATGATCCATGTAACATTGGTATATGTACATGTGACACTGGTATATGATACATGTAACAATGGTATATGATCCATGTAACATTGGTATATGTACATGTGACACTGGTATATGTACATGTAACAATGGTATATGTACATGTAACAATGGTAGATGTTCCATGTGACACTGGTATATGTTCCATGTAACACTGGTATATGCTCCATGTAACACTGGTATATCATCCATGTAACACTGGTATATGATCCATGTAACAATGGTATATGAACATGTTACAATGGTATATCATCCATGTAACACTGGTATATGATCCATGTAACAATGGTATATATACATGTAACACTGGTATATGATCCATGTAACAATGGTATATGATCATGTTACAATGGTATATGTTACATGTAACACTGGTATATGTTCCATGTGACACTGGTATATGCTCCATGTAACAATGGTATATGATCCATGTAACAATGGTATATGAACATGTTACATTGGTATATGTTACATGTAACACTGGTATATGTTCCATGTGACACTGGTATATGATCCATGTAACAATGGTATATGAACATGTTACAATGGTATATGTTACATGTAACACTGGTATATGTTCCATGTGACACTGGTATATGCTCCATGTAACACTGGTATATGCTCCATGTAACACTGGTATATCATCCATGTAACACTGGTATATGATCCATGTAACAATGGTATATGAACATGTTACAATGGTATATGTTACATGTAACACTGGTATATGTTCCATGTGACACTGGTATATGCTCCATGTAACACTGGTATATGATCCATGTAACAATGGTATATGATCCATGTAACACTGGTATATGCTCCATGTGACACTGGTATATGCTCCATGTTACAATGGTATATGATCCATGTAACAATGGTATATGAACATGTTACAATGGTATATGTTACATGTAACACTGGTATATGTTCCATGTGACACTGGTATATGCTCCATGTGACACTGGTATATGATCCATGTAACAATGGTATATGAACATGTTACAATGGTATATGCTACATGTAACATTGGTATATGTACATGTTACAATGGTATATGTTCCATGTGACACTGGTATATGTTACATGTGACACTGGTATATGCTACATGTAACATTGGTATATGTACATGTTACAATGGTATATGTTCCATGTGACACTGGTATATGCTCCATGTGACACTGGTATATGCTACATGTAACATTGGTATATGTACATGTTACAATGGTATATGTTCCATGTGACACTGGTATATGTTACATGTGACACTGGTATATGCTCCATGTGACACTGGTATATGAACATGTTACAATGGTATATGTTACATGTAACATTGGTATATGAACATGTTACAATGGTATATGTTACATGTAACACTGGTATATGTTCCATGTGACACTGGTATATGCTCCATGTGACACTGGTATATGTTCCATGTGACACTGGTATATGTTCCATGTAACACTGGTATATGATCCATGTAACACTGGTGTAAGTTCCATGTAACACTGGTATATGTTCCATGTGACACTGGTATATGTTACATGTAACATTGGTATATGTACATGTAACAATGGTAGATGCTCCATGTGACAATGGTATATGCTCCATGTAACACTGGTATATGTTACATGTTACAATGGTATATGTTCCATGTGACACTGGTATATGTTACATGTAACATTGGTATATGTTACATGTTACAATGGTATATGTTCCATGTGACACTGGTATATGTTACATGTGACACTGGTATATGCTCCATGTGACACTGGTATATGATCCATGTAACAATGGTATATGAACATGTTACAATGGTATATGTTACATGTAACACTGGTATATGTTACATGTTACAATGGTATATGTTCCATGTGACACTGGTATATGTTACATGTGACACTGGTATATGCTCCATGTGACACTGGTATATGATCCATGTAACAATGGTATATGAACATGTTACAATGGTATATGTTACATGTAACACTGGTATATGTTCCATGTAACATTGGTATATGTACATGTAACAATGGTAGATGCTCCATGTGACAATGGTATATGCTCCATGTAACACTGGTATATGTTCCATGTAACACTTGTATATGTTCCATGTAACAGTGGTATATGTTCCATGTAACACTGGTATATGTTCCATGTGACACTGGTATATGTTCCATGTAACACTGGTATATGATCCATGTAACACTGGTGTAAGTTCCATGTAACACTGGTATATGTTCCATGTAACACTTGTATATGTTCCATGTAACAGTGGTATATGTTCCATGTAACACTGGTATATGTTCCATGTGACACTGGTATATGTTCCATGTAACACTGGTATATGATCCATGTAACACTGGTATATGTTCCATGTAACACTGGTATATGTTCCATGTAACAGTGGTATATGTTCCATGTAACAATGGTATATGTTCAATATACCACTAGTATATGTTCCATGTGACACTGGTATATGTTCAATGTAACACTGGTATATGATCCATGTAACAGTGGTATATGTTCAATGTAACACTGGTATATGTCCCATGTAACACTGGTATATGTTCCATATAACACTGATATATGTTACATGTAACAGTGGTATATGTTCCATGTGACACTGGTATATGATCCATGTGACACTGGTATATGTTCCATGTAACAGTGGTATATGTTCCATGTAACAGTGGTATATGATCCATGTAACAGTGGTATATGTTCCATGTGACACTGGTATATGTTCCATGTAACAGTGGTTTTATGTTCCATGTAACAGCGGTATATGTTCCATGTGACACTGGTATATGTTCCATGTAACAGTGTTATATGTTCCATGTAACAGTGGTATATGTTCAATATACCACTGGCATATGTTCCATGTAACACTGGTATATGATCCATGTAACAGTGGTATATGTTCCATGTAACACTGGTATATGATCCATGTACCACTGGTATGTGTTCCATGTAACACTGGTATATGTTCCATGTAACACTGGTATATGTTCCATGTAACACTGGTATATGTTCCATGTAACACTGGTATATGTCCCATGTAACACTGGTATATGATCCATGTAACATTCTTACTTGTAGAATGCCGATCTGGTCCCTTGGATATCCTCATAATTGAGGATGTGTCTTACTCAGTTATGAACAACGATTACCAGAAGATGAAGGAGTTCGTCCTCCGCATGGTCAAGGGCATCAGTATCAGCGCTGAGGGCAACAGAGTCGCTTTTATGTCTTTCACCAAAACGGCAAAGGTTGGGTTTCATTTGAATACTTATGCCAACAAAACCAACGTTCTGGCAGCCATACGATCACAACACGGAGAGGGCGGCGGTACCATGATATCCAGTGCTATAGAACTATCAGTGTTTGATGTTTTCACGCACCCCAACGGCGACAGAGTTGATGAAGATAACATCGTTGTGGTCCTCACTGATGGTGTAAGCAAAGATGATTCCAGTCTCGAATCGCACCTTGCGGATTTGAAAGCAAAGGCCGAGATTTACGTGGTGACAGTCGGCTCCATGGTGAGCAATTCCACGGTGAATGAAGTCGCATCCTCATCGGATCATGTTCTGAAACTAGGTGATCAGACCACGGAAGAGGTGATCACATCTGCCCTCAACCCTGATCCCAACTGTGGATCAAACGAGGGACCAGCAGAGGGACCAGCAGAGGGACCAGCAGAGGGATCAGCAGAGGGATCAGGAAAGGGATCAGGAGAGGGACAAGCAGAGGGACCAGCAGAGGGACCAGCAGAGGGACCAGCAGAGGGACCAGCAGAGGGATCAGGAGAGGGACAAGCAGAGGGGCCAGCAGAGGGACCAGGATAGGGATCAGGAAAGGGAGCAGCAGAGGAAACAACCATGTATGTGGGACGCTGAGCAGGAGATAGAAATTGTCTCAAATAAATGAATAAGTTGCATCCCATGTCTAATTGTTTTTATTGATAATCATGCGTGTTAGGTGCAAACAAGTTCTTTCTTTCTAATAACAGGAACAAACCACAATTTGATCTATATCAAGGTTTTATAAAAGTGTGAGCGTTGGTGATACAACCGCGTGAGTGAGGGAGGGATGGAGATAGGGAGGGAGTAAGGGAGTGAGTGACGGAGAGAGGGAGTGAGTGAGTGAGTGAGTGAGTGAGCGAGTGAGCCAGAGTGCACAGAATATTCTACAGAAGCTGCAGATATCTGAAGAAAAAAAATATAACTTCTAATGAAGGTATGTGTAAGCTACATTTGAAATTAATAATTTCTGGAAAGCTAATAAGAACTATAGACTATTTACTATTTGAATGTCGGCTAAAATGGTGAGCCTTGATGATACAACACTCAAGTTATGAGTCAGCCAGCGAGCACTGATCGGGCTTAATGGATAAAGTTGAAGTGATGTGAAATGGGGTAGCGACGCGCATTCGCGTGTGTGGGTGTTGCTGCTAGACCACTGAGATACAATGCCACCTCAAACACACCATGACTCTGGGGCGACCAGTCCTTGTTTTATCCCATTAATGAGTTCAGGAGGTAACAACAAGTACCATCCTTTAACGTCTTCTAGTATGACGCTGCCGGGCATTGAACCAACGACCTTCCGCACTCCCGGAGAACACTAAATCAACGAGTCCACGGAAAATATAGTGGTATCAATAGCAGAAAGTATTCCGAAAAGAAATTTGTACCCTTCTGGTTGTGTCGAAAACAAATGATGTTTCACTGAAAGAATGACTTTCTTAAGAGATTGACAAAGTGATTTTGCGAAAAGAAACAGAAGTTTTACTGAAAGAATGACTTTCTTAAAAGGCTGACATTGTCCGAGGTCATGTTTTCAGAAACAATATTTGAGGGGGCGGGGTGGAAGTAGTATGGAAGCATTGCTCGCCTAGGAAGGTGAACTGATGAGGTTCAAGGTGATCTTCGAGGTGATCTTCATCATAGACATACTGGCTTATATATACTGATGAGGTTCAAGGTGATCTACATCAAAGACTAACTGGCTGATATATATACTGTAAGGCTTCAAGGTGATCTACATCATAGACTAACTGGCTCGTATATACTGATGAGCTTCAAGGTGATCTTCGAGGTGATCTCCATCATAGACATACTGGCTTATTTATACCGATCTACATCAAAGACATACTGGCTGATATATACTGGTGAACTTCACAGTGATCTACATCATAGACTTACTGTCTTATATATACTGATAACCATCTTGAGATCTACATCATAGACATACTGGCTGATATATACTGATGAGCTTCAAGGTGATCTACATCATAGACATACTGGCTGATATATACTGATGAGCTTCAAGGTGATCTACATCATAGGCATACTGGCTTATATATATACTGATAAGCTTCAAGGTGATCTACATTATAGACTAACTGGCTTATATATATATACTGATCAGCTTCAAGGCGATCTTTATCATAGACATATTGGCTAATATATACTGATAAAGTTCAAGGTGATCCAGATGATAGACTAACTGGCTGATATATACTGATGAGTTTCAAGGTGATCTACATCAAAGACTAACTGGCTGATATATACTGATGAGCTTCAAGGTTATCTACATTAGAGACTAACTGGCTTATATATACTGATGTGTTTCAAGGTGTTCTACATCATAGACTGACTGGCTTATATATACTGATCAGCTTCAAGTTGATCTACATCACAGACTTATTGGTTTATATAAACTGATAAATTTCAAGGTGTTCTACATCATAGACTAACTGGCTGATATATACTGATAAGGTTCAAGGTGATCCAGATCATAGATTGACTGGCTGATATATACTGATGAGTTTCAAGGTGATCTACATCAAAGACTAACTGGCTGATATATACTGATGAGCTTCAAGGTTATCTACATTATAGACTAACTGCCTTATATAATTATACTGATAAATATCATGTGATCTACATAATAGACTAACTATCTTATATATACTGATGAGCTTCAGGTGATCTACAGCACAGACTCATTGGTTTATATATACTGATAAATTTCAAGGTGATCTACATCATAGACTAACAGGCTGATATATACTGATGAGCTTCAAGGTTATCTACATCATTGACATACTGGCTTATATATACTGATAAATTTCAAGGTCTTCGCGATCATAGACTCACTGGCTGATATATACTGATCAGCTTCAAGGTGATCTACATCATAGACTTATTGGTTTATATATACTGATAAATTTAAAGGTGATCTACATCATAGACTAACTGGCTGATATATACTGATGAGCTTCAAGGTGATCTACATCATAAACTAACTGGCTTATGTAAACGGATAAGCTTCAATGTGATCTCTATCATACACTAACTGGCTAATATATACTGATGAGCTTCAAGGTGATCTACATCATAGGCTAACTGGCTTATATATACTGATAAGCTTAAGGGTGATCTACATCATATACTTACTGGTTTATATATACTGATAAGCTTGAAGGTGATGTCATCATAGACTATCTGGCTTAAATATACTGATAAGCTTCAAGGTGATCTATATACTGATGAGCTTCAAGGTGATCTACATCATAGACTATCTGGCTTATATATTCTGATAAGCTTGAAGGTGATCTACATCATAGGCTAACAGGCTTATAAATATTAAGAAGTTTCAAGGTGATCTACATCATATACTTACTGGTTGATATATACTGATAAGCTTCAAGGTGATGTCATCATAGATATACTGGCTGATATATACTGATGAGCTTTAAGGTGATCTACATCATAGGCTTACTGGCTAATATATACCGATAAGTTTCAAGGTGAACTACATCATGTACTTACTGGCTTATATGTACTGATAAGCTTCAATGTTATCTACATCATAGACATACTAGCTTATATATACTAATAAGCTTCAAGGTGATCTACATCATAGACTAATTGGTTGATATATACTGATAAATTTCAAGGTGTTCTACATCATAGACATACTTGCTTATATATACTGATGAGCTTTAAGGTGATCTACATCATTGACTAATTGGTTTATATATACTGATAAATTTCAAGGTCTTCGCGATCATAGACTCACTGGCTGATATATACTGATCAGCTTCAAGGTGATCTACATCATAGACTTATTGGTTTATATATACTGATAAATTTAAAGGTGATCTACATCATAGACTAACTGGCTGATATATACTGATGAGCTTCAAGGTGATCCACATCATAAACTAACTGGCTTATGTAAACGGATAAGCTTCAATGTGATCTCTATCATACACTAACTGGCTAATATATACTGATGAGCTTCAAGGTGATCTACATCATAGGCTAACTGGCTTATATATACTGATAAGCTTCAAGGTGATCTACATCATAGGCTAACTGGCTTATATATACTGATAAGCTTAAGGGTGATCTACATCATAGGCTAACTAGCTTGTATATATACTGATGAGCTTCAAGGTGATGTCATCATAGATATACTGGCTGATATATACTGATCAGCTTCAAGGTGATCTACATCATATACTTACTGGCTTATATATACTGATGAGCTTCAAGGTGATGTCATCATAGATATACTGGCTGATATATACTGATCAGCTTCAAGGTGATCTACATCATATACTTACTGGCTTATATATACTGATGAGCTTCAAGGTGATGTCATCATATATATACTGGCTTATATACGCTGATGAGCTTCAGGGTGATCTACATCATATACTTACTGGCTCATATATACTGATGAGCTTCAAGGTGATGTCATCATAGATATAGTGGCTGATATATACTGATGAGCTTCAAGGTGATCTACATCATATACTCACTGTCTTATATATACTGATGAGCTTCAAGGTGATGTCATCATAGATATACTGGCTGATATATACTGATGAGCTTGAAGGTGATCTACATCATAGGCTTACTGGCTGATATATACTGATAAGCTTCAGGGGGATCTACATCATTGACAAACTGGCTGATATATACTGATGAGCTTCAAGGTGATCTACATTATAGACTACCTGGCTTATATATACTGATGAGCTTCAACGTGATCTACATCATTGACTAACTGGCTTATACATACTGATGAGTTTCAAGTTTACAACACTGACACTGGATTACATATATTCTTATCTGTTTATTTACAAACATAAAGTTGTCAATACATGGTACGACTATCAATGGCAAATACATCACAGAAAATCAAATTTACAGTAGAACAATTCAGGATATTTTAGAAAACAATATGATACACATTGGAATAAATTAAAACAAGTAAATTCAATAAAATGCAATTTTCAATCTAAAATGTCTAAGAATGCATGAAATACTTTAAAAGGATGACCTTCTTCGACAATATTTATGTAAATCAGCTTGATAAAATATCTAAAAACATTTGTTAAATTTCATGCACACATGGTGGATTGCTGCCATTGAAGAAAATGACTTCAAATCAAAATCATGAACAATTGGTAGTCATTTTTTGTCAGGTTTGGCAAGATCTGTGGTATGTGTTTTACCAGACTCCATGGGCATGAGATTTTGGTTTGGTACAACTCTGGACAGTGATCAGTTTCTTCTTGTGGGAGGAAAGCCCAAAGGAATGCAGGTCTTAGAAGATTTTAGTTTTTTGTTTCACGCCACACTCATCAATATTCTAGCTATAAGAGGGTGGTCTGTACACAATCTAGTCCGGACAGTCATGATTGACATCATGAGCATCGATCCCCACAATTGGGATACAATGATATGCATTAACCAAGTCAGCGAGCCTGACCACCCGATCCCGTTAGTCAGCTTTTACGACAAGCATAGTTGCCTTTTACAGCAAGCATGGGTTGCTGATGACCTATTCTACCCTGGATCTTCAAGAGTCTACTCTCTCTATTACCTAGCTCCGTATAAATAGGAAGTGCACATAGATAATAGGAACATCGCTTATATATACTGATGAGCTTCAACGTGATCTACATCATAGACTAACTGGTTTATATATACTGATAAGCTTCAAGGTGATCTACATCATAGACTAACTGGCTTATATATACTCATGAGCTTCAAGGTGATCTACATCAAAGACTAACTGACACATATACTGATAAGCTTCAAGGTGATCTACATCATAGACTAACTGGCTTATATATACTGATAAGCTTCAAGGTGATCTACATCATAGACTAACTGGCTTATATATACTCATGAGCTTCAAGGTGATTTACCCCGGATCTTCACGGGTAAGGTCTCAGAAGTACCATATTCACAATTGGGCAAGCAACAGCATGGTGCTGACAAACTATGTGTAACATAACAATCTGGCAATAGAAGCCATGATAAGATTCTGATATATACTGATTGATGTAATGAGCACCTAAATGTGGTGCCTTGGGCAAGGGGGCACCTGCACCCCTGGTTTTCTCAGACTCTTTGAACTTATACAATTATGAAAAGAGCAGACCATGAAAGACTTCACATGGGTTGACTGTCGGACTGAATTTGTAGACCATAAATACAGCTGTAACATAGAAATGGTAGACCCTGAGTAAATAATCGAATCTGGACCAGACCATCCAGTGACTGACATGAGCATCAATCCATGCAATTAGGATAGGATGAAATGCAGTTTACCAAGTCACCGAGTCTTGCCACCCGATGCAATTAGTCGCCTTTTATGATAAGCATAGGTTGCTGGGGACATATATTCTTACCTGGAACCCCCTCAGGTGAACACTAGAGTGTCTCACAAAGACAAAAAGGGGGACTCAACTACAAGGCCAGGTGCTTGATGAGAAGTTTCTGTCCCACTCCAGACATGTACACCAATGGACTTTCAGGTACGAATATAGGTCCCAAGCAACCTGCGCTGGTCATAAAAGGCAACTTACTATACGACTGGGTGGTCAGGCTCAGTGACTTGCTGGATGTGTGTCATCATTCCGGGGTAGAATAGGCCTCAGCCAACCCATGCTTGCCATAAAAGGCGACTATGCTTGTCGTAAAAGGCGACTGACGGGATCGGAAGGTCAGGCTTGCTGACTTGGTTGATGCATGTCATCGATCCCAATTGTGTGGATCGATGCTCCTGATGTCAATCACTGGATTGTCTGGTCCAGGCTTGATTATTTACAGACTGCAGTCATATAGCTGGAATATTCCTGAGTGCGACGTTAACCAACTGACAAACAAACACTGCAGACATTGTAATTAGTCCCAGCTGTGAACCTGATCATGTGAACCCGATCATGTGAACTCGATCATGTGAACCTGATCGTGTGAACCTGAAGCACCCTTCATACTTGACCACCTGTGGCTTCTAAAGACACATCCTATTGTAAATAGAATTAAAAATGTCATTATTTCAAATATATTTTCTTACAAACGCTAGCAGCAATTCTGATACCATGAGATCAAATGTCACCTTAGCCGTTTCACGGACAGTTCCCATGCGAGTAGAAACAAAGCTTCAGTAACTGAAAGACAAGATCAATTTCATGAATGGGCTTAAAACTCTCCCCTTAGAATCATTCAACTTTTAAAATTCAAAGATACAAAAGCATTCATGTGGTAGAAAAACTCGAAGTCACTGAGTGCATTGCTTGTTCTCTTTCAAAATGGTGTGTACATCAAACTGAATGATGTCACTATTTTGAGCCGTCATCATCAGACTTCTGTTCAACAGGTTGTCATCGCTGTGTCATCTGTTATTAGTAGGAGCATCAGACGTCACTGTTGCTAGTAGGAGTGTCAGATGTCACTGTTCTTAGTGGGAGGGTCAGGCGTCACTGTTGTTAGTTGGAGTATCAGACGTCAGTGTTGTTAGTAGCAGTGTCTCTTGACATGCGTCTCCCAGAAGAAGCTGTGGCAGTGACACACAGCAAAGCTTGCTCTCCAGGAATTCCCATCTCACAGACCGGGTCTGAAAGAAGGAGACCAATATCACATGGTGGGACACCAAGCATAAACTTCCAACAAAATGACATTTTCCTCAGAGCGAAAACTACAGACTTATATACTGTTACAAATAGGGACATGACAAACCATTGACATTACAAGCAACGATCCATGTCATGCAGGTACGATGACATGCAATCAGCCAAGTCACTGAGCCTGACCACTTGATCCATAAAGTTGTCTCTTACGCTTCTAGGGACCAATTCTAACCTGGAACCACACATTTCTATTGGACCAATCAACCATTTCATCTTCGGGAGGGATTTGTGTTTCAGACAATTGTTTTCAGTCAGCGCTTCCAGATAAACAGATTAACAATGGTCCATGATATTTTCAAAAACATCAAACCTTTTCAACAGGTGTGAAGTTTGCCTTGAGGAAGCCAACCCTCCCATCCTTGACTGTGAGGCCTTGCTCCCGACACGCCACCTCCGCCTCTGCCTCTGTGTCCCACCCCAGCAGCTGGATGAGTCGACTCACGGGGAAACTACAGTTTTTGCTGCTGTATGCTGTACACAGGGTCTTTAGGCCATACCTGTCAGAGACACGCTATCATTAATACTGCTGTACTTGGTACACAGGGTCTATAGGCCGTACCTGTCGGAGACACATCATCATTAATACTGCTGTATGTGGCACACAGGGTCTTTAGGCCGTACCTGTCGTGGACACATTATCATTAATACTGCTGTACATAGCACACAGGGTCTTTAGGCCGTACCTGTAGGAGACACATTATCATCATCAATACTGCTGTATGTGGCACACAGGGTCTTTAGGCCGTACCTGTCGGAGACACATTATCATCATCAATACTGCTGTATGTGGCACACAGGGTCTTTAGGCCGTACCTGTCGGGGACAACTTATCATTAATACTGCTGTACGTGGGACACAGGGTCTTTAGGCTGTACCTGTCGGAGACACATTATCATCATCAATACTGCTGTATGTGGCACACAGGGTCTTTAGGCCGTACCTGTCGGGGACACATTATCATTAATACTACAGTACGTGGGACACAGGGTCTTTAGGCCGTACCTGTCGGAGACACATTATCATTAATACTGCTGTACAGAGCACACAGGGTCTTTAGGCCGTACCTGTAGGAGACACATTATCATCATCAATACTGCTGTATGTGGCACACAGGGTCTTTAGGCCGTACCTGTCGGGGACACATTATCATTAATACTACAGTACGTGGGACACAGGGTCTTTAGGCCGTACCTGTCGGAGACACATTATCATTAATACTGCTGTACAGAGCACACAGGGTCTTTAGGCCATACCTGTCGGAGACACATTAGAAGTAAGCATACTCACGACTGTATGTTGGCAAGATGGCGGTGCAGGGCACACAGACACAGCATGCTGGGAAGCCGGGCAGCGAGGCGGAGGACTCGTAGCGTGTTGCCGAGCAGATAGCTGATGCTGATTTGGTAGGCGATATGGCACAGCTGGTGACATCTGAATAAAGGAGAGGAACACAGCGTTAGACATTGGCACCAGTCCTGTGCACAGTGCACAGAGACCGCCTTAGTGGTCCATCGGTAGAGCATCCAGCTGGAGAGCAGAATGTCCGGGGTTCGATCTCCGGCCATGTCATACCAAAAGACGTTAACAGATGTTACTTGTTGTTACAAGGTCTATACCGGGCTTAAAAGGGCTTAAACAAGGATTGGTCGGCTCGGAGTCAGTATTCTGTGTCTTAGTGGGGTATTCATGCTAAACTGTGGCATGGTATCTAGGTGGACTAGGACTATAAATCGGCAGCAGTCCGGACAAGTACAAGCAGCCATACGCACACATACGTGCATGCACGTCGCCATATAAGTGCAATAATCTTGGACTCGACGTTAACCCAATTTCACCTCACCTCACCTCACAGCTCACAAATCAGGTGAATTTACGCAACGTCGGTCGCGGAGAGTCCTTGGATGGGTGCCCGTGTTTCAGCAGCTTGGCTCCTGGGAGTTTGTTCGGCTTCGATCCTGGCCCACACTGAAGCACATGTAACACATGTGGCATCTCCTTGGGCAAATGACTTGGTTCAAAATGTGCCTGAGTTCACCCAACAGTGAATGGGTACCCGGTATGATGAGATGGCAATGTGGTTGTTAACTTGTTGTATACTCCCCATGGAGCTGAGAATGATTCTTGAGTGCACACTGATCGAGTGACCAGGGTAAGAATAGCGTTTTTCAGCATGCCCCTGAGTGGTGTGGAAATATGCGCAATATAAATGGCCTAATATTATTATATTGTCCTTGCCAAACTGCCCTATAGTTAAAGTATCAAAGCATTACAGTATTTTCCCTATCAATGGATCAGTGTGCACGCTCGTTCTCAGCTCCCTGGGGAGAATACAACTCAAGCAGCCTGTGAGGTACCAGAAGGTGAACACTCACATTACAATCGCATCCTACCGGGTACCCATTCACTGCTCGGTGAACAGAGGCTCTCAAGAGTCAAGCCACAGAAAAACGCGTCACCCATGCAACTACTCTCTGTGACCAATGTGGCCCATCTTCCTGAGGCAAGGGAGTTAACTGACTTTGAAAGTCCAGTATCCATCCTTGCCGACCTAGGCTGGAATTATGGAGTTTCATGTTTTTAATCTAGGTGCTCAAGTGATTCAATGCACATCAGGAGGTAAAATACGTTTTATTACAACAAAGATCATTATTATGAATGAAATAGTTTTGACTAGGATTTGTTTGTTGTCGTCGTTTAACGTCGCACTCAGCAAAAATTCCAGCGGTCTTTAAATAATCGAGTCTGGATCAGACAATCCAGTGATTGACATCATGAGCATCGATCTACGCAATTGGAATACGATGACATGCATCAAACCACCCAATCCCATTAGTCGCCTTTTACGAGAAGCATAGTCGCCTTTTACGGCAAGCATTGGTTGCTGAAGACCTATTTTACCACAGATCTTCATGGGTGTCTTGAGCCTCAATTTTGTTTGAAGCATCCACAAGATATTTGAGAGGTGGAATCTGATTGTCAGTAGGGAGGGCATAGAAGAGACATAACTCATCATAGCCATGAAATTCTAACCAAGGTCGGCAAGGGTGGAAACTGGACTTTTAAAAGTTTGTTAACTCCCTTGCCTCGGGAAGATGAACGTGGCCCAGATCCCCTGATTTGTTTCCTCTGTACGCAGGAAGTGCCCCACAATTCTACTTGAACCAGGTCATGTGGTCGGAGGTGCAGGTGGTTCAGTCATTTGAGGCGCCGCCATTCGCTGTGCACAGTTGGAGGGGGGACGGGTAACTCGGGTACCTGGGTCGGGTACCCACAGGACTACCCGGAACCATGGTCAGTCACGTGATATATTGTTTAATGTCAAAAATTATCTTGAACTCTATGGTTACACTACAAGCCACTAATGTTTGCATTTCTTTCTGACTATGCACCCATTCCTTCCGATATTTTCATATGGTTGAAGAAAGATATATCTTAATTCAGCTTCAGTGTATGAATGAACAGATTGTTTAAATGTATCTAAATACGTGTTGCCAGGGCTATGCTACAAATGTTCCCAATTGAGACATCTCTGAGACCTACAGTGGGTACCGGGGTAGGGTCGGGTAATAGGGGGGTGGGTACCCTGGTAGTATATTTGGACTCGTCCCACCCCTAACTTGTTGTTACCTGTAGCCTGGCATTAAGGGGATAAAATAAGAACTGGCTGGGTCGGAGTCAGTGTTCTGTCTGAGTTGGATGCTGATATATAATTGCAATAATCTTTAACATGACAATAAACTCCATTTCACCTGACCTCGTATTTATATTGTTTAATGACAAAAAGTATATCAAACACCATGGTCACAAATGTTCGCATTTCTTTCTGACTGTGCAGCCATTCTTTCTGACTTTTCATATGTTTGAATAAAGATGTAACTTCAGTGTATGCATGACCAGATTGTTTAATATATGTATGTAAACAGGTTTAGCCATGGCTAGGGTAAAAGAAAATTCCCAATCGGACATCTTGAGGCATCTCTTGAGACCTACTGTGGGTACCCGGGTAGGGTCGGGTAATAGGGGGCTGGGTACCCGGGGAAGTAAATTTGGACTCGTCCCAACAGAGCCCTACAGAGTTGCTTCCCTTAGTCACACCAGAAACCTATGATTGTGGATTCGAATCCCGGTTCACCCTGATTATGTTTCTAGATTTGTCAGCACCATAATTCTGGTACGTCAACCAGCAAGACTTACCTTAAAGACTTAGGAAGCTGCAGGAAGTGTCTGAGTGCGTCTGTGTCTCCGAGGTTATATAGGAGGTACACACTCTCGAACTCTGCCTGTCTTGGGTGAGCATTGTCTGTTGTTGTGTCTGTGTGTCTGTTACGAGATTCTGTGTCTGATAAACTACACCATCTCAGACCATCCTCCAAATGAGTCAGACCAGATCTACCATTGTCTGTGTCTGTGTGTCTGATGTTTGCGTGTCTGTTGTCAGCTGGACTACAATCAGCCTGTCGGCCTCCTGTCTGATCAGACACATGTCTGACACCTCTCCGCCGATCGTCTGAACTCTGTCTGGTGTCTGCGTCGTCCATCTGTCCTGTGTCTGTGTGTGAGTACAGATACAGTAGCCTCTTCAGACACTCCTGTGTGTGCTGTGAGTTGATCGCGGGATCATAGGTGTCCAGACCATGTTCACACAACCTGCAACAGAGTGAGTGATTGAGTTGGGTTTAACGCCGCTTTTAACAGTATTCCAGTTATATCACAGTGTGTCAGCTTAATGTGGGGGGAAAGCCCGAGTGATGCAGGTTTCAGACCATTTCGGTGAAACCCACGAGCGCGGGTATAGTGCTGACAAACCTAGAAACAATCAGGGTGAACCTACAATCATAGGTTTCTGGCGTGCCCAAGGGACACAACTCTGCACAGCGAATCGCGGCGCCTTAGACAACTGGGCCACCCGTGCCCCCTGTATACTCATGCGGACTAATAGGGACATGTGAAGGGTTTTAGGAATTACCATATTCGCATAATAGGCGCCCCGCTCTAATAAGCGCCCACGGTGATATTTGCTAATATATTGGCTAGTGAACAACACCAATCAGCGCCCCTTCCGATTGATCAATGTACACAAGACTTATTTATTTGCGTATAATACGCACTCGTGTGTTATATGCATTCTTAATTATGGGCAGTTAAATTCTGGAAAAAATATATCTGTCGCATATTACATTTCAATCTGTCAGCATAAACCACGAAATTTATCTTTCAACTCTGTTTTTTTCCACCAAAATAATATTCTAATAAGAGCCCCCTATTTCTAATTTTGAGAGCGCCCTGGGCGCTTATTACGTCGAATACGGTAATTGAAAATACACTTAGAATTTTGCATCTTTCCGAGACAAGAGAGTTAACACTCTTGCCACGGGGAGATGAGAATTTGGAGACATTGAGTTATATGAGAGAACTTTCAGCTTCACGGACTGTTAAGAAATTCACAGGAAGGGTTGACAATGGGAGCTTCTCAACAGAATCTCTAAAGACACTATTGTCCTACAATTGCAAATAGAATTCTCCATGTGCCTCTGCCAACATAGAAGAATGCCTAGCTGTACCAAACTTGGGATCAATTCATTCACATCCACTATATCTTTGGAAACTTTATCAATTCAATTCTTTGTTGTATTAATGGCCAGACAACATTGCAGAGTAACCAAGTACTTGAAGAGATCTTGATGCATCAGCCCGCCTGTATGCATCACAAACATAGAGATGACACAGTGACTACCCACCTATATTCAGAATACACATGGAGATGACACAATGTCTACCCACCTATATGCAGCATACACATGGAGATGACAGTGTCTACCCACCAAAATGCAGCATACACATGGAGATGACACAGTGTCTACCAACCTATATGCAGCACACACGTGGAGATGACACAGTGTCTACCAACCTATATGCAGCACACACGTGGAGATGACACAGTGTCTACCAACCTATATGCAGCACACACAAGGAGATGACACAGTGACTACCCACCTGTATGCAGCATAAACATGGAGATGACACAGTATCTACCCACCTATATGCAGCACACACATGGAGATGACACAGCGTCTATCCACCTATATGCAGCATCCATATGGAGATGACACAGTATCTACCCACCTATATGCAGCATCCATATGGAGATGACACAGTGTCTACCCACCTATATGCAGCATCCATATGGAGATGACACAGTATCTACCCACCTATATGCAGCACACACATGGAGATGACGCAGTGTCTACCCACATATATGCAGCATCCATATGGAGATGACACAGTATCTACCCACCTACATGCAGCACACACATGGAGATGACACAGTGTCTACCCACCTATATGCAGCACACACATGGAGATGACACAGTATCTACCCACCTATATGGAGCATACACATGGAGATGACACAGTGTCTACCCACCTATATGCAGCACACACATGGAGATGACACAGTGTCTACCTACCTATATGCAGCACACACATGGAGATGACACAGACTGTCTACCCACCTATATGCAGCACACACATGGAGATGACACAGTATCTACCCACCTATATGCAGCACAAACATGGAGATGACATAGACTGACTACTAAGCTATATGCAGCACACACAAGGAGATGAAAGAGTATCTATCCATTTATATGCAGCACATACATGGAGATGACACAGTATCTACCCACCTATATGCAGCACACAAAGGGAGATGACACAGTATCTACCCACCTTTATGCAGCACACACATGGAGATGACACAGTATCTACCCACCTATATGCAGCACACACATGGAGATGACACAGTGTCTATCCACCTATATGCAGTACACACATGGAGATGACACAGTGACTACCCACCTATATGCAGCACACACATGGAGATGACACAGTATCTACCCACCTATATGCAGCACACACGTGGAGATGACACAGTATCTACCCACCTATATGCAGCATATACATGGAGATGACACAGTGACTACCAACTTATATGCAGCATACACATGGAGATGACACAGACTGTCTACCCACCTATATGCAGCATACACATGGAGATGACACAGTGACTACCAACTTATATGCAGCGCACACGTGGAGATGACACAGTGTCTACCCACCTATATGCAGCACACACATGGAGATGACACAGTATCTACCCACCTATATGCAGCATACACATGGAGATGACACAGTGTCTACCCACCTATATGCAGCACACACATGGAGATGACACAGTATCTACCCACCTATATGCAGCATACACATGGAGATGACACAGTGACTACCCACCTATATGCAGCATACACATGGAGATGACAGTGTCTACCCACCTATATGCAGCACACACATGGAGATGACTCAGTGACTACCCACCTATATGCAGCATACACATGGAGATGACACAGTATCTACCCACCTATATGCAGCATCCATATGGAGATGACACAGTGTCTACCCACCTATATGCAGCACACACATGGAGATGACACAGTATCTACCCACCTATATGCAGCATCCATATGGAGATGACACAGTGTCTACCCACCTATATGCAGCACACACATTGAGATGACACACTATCTTCCCACCTATATGCAGCATCCATATGGAGATGACACAGTGTCTACCCACCTATATGCAGCATCCATATGGAGATGACACAGTATCTACCCACCTACATGCAGCACACACATGGAGATGACACAGTGTCTACCCACCTATATGCAGCACACACATGGAGATGACACAGTGTCTACCCACCTATATGCAGCACACACATGGAGATGACACAGACTGTCTACCCACCTATATGCAGCACACACATGGTGATGACACAGTATCTACCCACCTATATGCAGCACAAACATGGAGATGACATAGACTGACTACTAAGCTATATGCAGCACACACAAGGAGATGAAAGAGTATCTATCCATTTATATGCAGCACATACATGGAGATGACACAGTATCTACCCACCTATATGCAGCACACACATGGAGATGACACAGTATCTACCCACCTTTATGCAGCACACACATGGAGATGACACAGTATCTACCCACCTATATGCAGCATACACATGGAGATGACACAGTGTCTACCTACCTATATGCAGCTTACACATGGAGATGACACAGACTGTCTACCCACCTATATGCAGCACACATGTGGAGATGACGCAGTGTCTACCCACCTTTATGCAGCATACACATGGAGATGACACAGTATCTACCCACCTATATGCAGCACACACATGGAGATGACGCAGTATCTACCCACCTTTATGCAGCATACACATGGAGATGACACATACTGTCTACCCACCTATATGCAGCATACACATGGAGATGACACAGTGACTACCCACCTATATGCAGCATACACATGGAGATGACACAGTGTCTATCCACCTATATGCAGTACACACATCGAGATGACACAGTGTCTATCCACCTTTATGCAGTACACACATGGAGATGACACAGTATCTACCCACCTATATGCAGCACACACATGGAGATGACACAGTGTCTACCCACCTATATGCAGCACACACATGGAGATGACAGTGTCTACCCACCTATATGCAGCATACACATGGAGATGACACAGACTGTCTACCCACCTATATGCAGCACACACGTGGAGATGACGCAGTGTCTACCCACCTTTTTGCAGCATACACATGGAGATGACACAGTATCTACCCACCTTTATGCAGCACACACATCGAGATGACACAGTGTCTATCCACCTATATGCAGTACACACATGGAGATGACACAGTGTCTACCCACCTTTATGCAGCACACACATCGAGATGACACAGTGTCTATCCATTTATATGCAGCATACACATGGAGATGACACAGTGACTACCAACTTATATGCAGCATACACATGGAGATGACACAGACTGTCTACCCACCTACATGCAGCATACACATGGAGATGACACAGTGACTACCAACTTATATGCAGCGCACACGTGGAGATGACACAGTGTCTACCCACCTATATGCAGCACACACATGGAGATGACACAGTATCTACCCACCTATATGCAGCATACACATGGAGATGACACAGACTGTCTACCCACCTATATGCAGCACACACATGGAGATAACACAGTATCTACCCACCTATATGCAGCATACACATGGAGATGACACAGTGACTACCCACCTTTATGCAGCACACACATGGAGATGACAGTGTCTACCCACCTATATGCAGCACACACATGGAGATGACACAGACTGTCTACCAACCTATATGCAGCACACACATGGAGATGACACAGACTGTCTACCCACCTATATGCAGCACACACATGGAGATGACACAGTGTCTACCCACCTATATGCAGCACACACATGGAGATGACATAGACTGACTACTAAGCTATATACAGCACACACAAGGAGATGAAAGAGTATCTATCCATTTATATGCAGCACATACATGGAGATGACACAGTATCTACCCACCTATATGCAGCACACACATGGAGATGACACAGTATCTACCCACCTTTATGCAGCACACACATGGAGATGACACAGTGTCTACCAACCTATATGCAGCACACACATGGAGATGACACAGTGTCTATCCACCTATATGCAGTACACACATGGAGATAACACAGTGACTACCCACCTATATGCAGCATACACATGGAGATGACACAGTATCTACCCACCTAAATGCAGCATACACATGGAGATGACACAGTGTCTACCCACCTATATGCAGCACACACATGGAGATGACACAGTGTCTACCCACCTATATGCAGCACACACATGGAGATGACATAGACTGACTACTAAGCTATATACAGCACACACAAGGAGATGAAAGAGTATCTATCCATTTATATGCAGCACATACATGGAGATGACACAGTATCTACCCACCTATATGCAGCACACACATGGAGATGACACAGTATCTACCCACCTTTATGCAGCACACACATGGAGATGACACAGTATCTACCCACCTATAGGCAGCAAACACATGGAGATGACACAGTGTCTACCTACCTATATGCAGCATACACATGGAGATGACACAGTATCTACCAACCTATATGCAGCACACACATGGAGATGACACAGTATCTACCCACCTATATGCAGCACACACATGGAGATGACACAGTGTCTACCCACCTATATGCAGCACACACATGGAGATGACACAGTGTCTACCCACCTATATGCAGCACACACATGGAGATGACATAGACTGACTACTAAGCTATATGCAGCATACACATGGAGATGACACAGTGTCTATCCACCTATATGCAGCATCCATATGGAGATGACACAGTGTCTACCCACCTATATGCAGCACACACATGGAGATGACATAGACTGACTACTAAGCTATATGCAGCACACACATGGGGATGACAGAGTGTCTATCCACCTACATGCAGCATACACATGGAGATGACATAGACTGACTACCCACCTATATGCAGCATACACATGGAAGCTGACACAGGCCTCCAGGATAGTGATGGCATCATGACCTTTGATGTCCTGGATAACCATGTCTTGTCGGATGGCTCTCAGACGGTCAAACACAAAGTCATACACCTCGTTCCACCCGGATTTCTGAGTGTGGTGCAGGGAAATTATACTGGAACAGACAACAGCAGACAAATACAGCATGCATCATCATGTGAAGACTGATGTTAGTCTGCAGGAACATGACCTGGGTAAATGTGCCACACCAACTGTCCTCAACAGGTCCTGTGCTTAATCTAACATTCAAAATGTTTGTTTCAAGAAACTAACATTTTTAATCCACTAGTCCTTATAATGATAGCTTATAGCAAAAGCTGTTAAAATGGCAAACTTTGACTCGTCCTCATGTTACCATAACTATTGGGCACTTTGGCAAGGACTGCAGGACTAGTGCCAATTCCAAACACTTGTAACATTTAAGGAGGTAAAAATATGTGAAGCCAGTGTCTCTTCGAAGAGTAATCCTAATTCTTATTATTATTACTGCTACTACTACTACTACTACTACTAATAATAATGATAATAATATTCCACTTAAAAACATACCAGATATATAGCACAAGACTCCACACTATGTATTCTCAAGGAGCCCCCGTAAAGGTTTGTTTTTTCGTTTGTTGTTTAATGCTCACTCAGCAATATTCTTGCCATATGACGGCTGTCTGTAAATAATCAAGTCTAGACCAGACAATCCAGTATTTGACATCATGAGCATCGATCAGGGCAACAGTGATATGCGGCAAGCATGGGTTGCTGAGGACCGATTCTAACCCTGGATCTTCACAGGTGGACCGTCAAGGGATCCGTGTACATTCTCAACTCCCTGGTGATCATACATCCCAAACTGCCTGTAACATTTTCATTTTCCGTCGGTTTTATTCAGTTCCAGTTTGTAGCAAAATTAAAGCATTGAGAACTGGTTCAGAATACCAACTGTCAGACCTGTTCATCAATGAGGACTACCACCATAACCGGAGTTTGACTTGTCCTCAGCAAAAGTCCACTAGTTAAAGCATTGAGAACTGGTTCAGAATACCAACTGTCAGACCTGTTCATGAATGAGGACTACCACCATAACCGGAGTTTGACTTGTCCTCAGCAAAAGTCCACTAGTTAAAGCATTGAGAACTGGTTCAGAATACCAACTGTCAGACCTGTTCATGAATGAGGACTACCACCATAACCGGAGTTTGACTTGTCCTCAGCAAAAGTCCACTAGTTAAAGCATTGAGAACTGGTTCAGAATACCAACTGTCAGACCTGTTCATCAATGAGGACTACCACCATAACCGGAGTTTGACTTGTCCTCAGCAAAAGTCCACTAGTTAAAGCATTGAGAACTGGTTCAGAATACCAACTGTCAGACCTGTTCATGAATAAGGACTACCACCATAACCGGAGTTTGACTTGTCCTCAGCAAAAGTCCACTAGTTAAAGCATTGAGAACTGGTTCAGAATACCAACTGTCAGACCTGTTCATGAATGAGGACTACCACCATAACCGGAGTTTGACTTGTCCTCAGCAAAAGTCCACTAGTTAAAGCATTGAGAACTGGTTCAGAATACCAACTGTCAGACCTGTTCATGAATGAGGACTACCACCATAACCGGAGTTTGACTTGTCCTCAGCAAAAGTCCACTAGTCTTGGACTAGTAGTCTAGAATGAGTGAGTGAGTATGATTTTACGCCGCTTTTAGCAATATTCCAGCAATATCACGGCGGGGGGCACCAGAAATGGGCTTCACACATTGTACCCATGTCGGGAATCGAACCCGGGTCTTCGGCATGCCGAGCGAACGCTTTAACCACTAGGCTACCCGACCGCCCTAGTCTAGAATGAATATCAAAGCCTGTATCGAGGTGTTTACTCACTTTGTGAACAGGAAGCTGATGGTTTGGTGAAGAATTCGGGGAGGTCGCAAAGCACAAGGGTCGGGGTCAGCACGACCAGCAGCCGGGCGGGAGTATTCCTTCACAGCAGAGGTCAGGTCACCTCGAGGTCTGTTGACAAATAGGACGATTATCGAATATGTGGTCAATATGTTACAGTCAATGTCTATAATCTGGCAATATATATACAGAGATTGACCACATCTTAACCTGCACCACACCCGTGCTCGTTGGTTTCACCGAAGTGGTCTGAGACCTGCATCACTCGGGCTTTCCTCCCACATTACGCTGACATGCCTGTTGAAACTGAAACACTGTTCAAAGTGGCATTAAACCAAACGCACTCACTCACTATTTCAAGTGTACAGTGAGTGAGTGAGTGAGTGAGTTGGGTTTAACGCAGCTTTTTCAATTATTCCAGTTATATCATGACATGTCAACTTAATGTTGGGGGAAAGCCAAAGGTGATGCAGGTCTAAGACGTTTACCACTTCGGTGAAACCCACGAGCACGGGTATGGTGCTGACAAACCTAGAAACATAATCGGGGCGAACCGGGATTCGAACCCACAATCATAGGTTTCTGGCGTGCCCAAGGGACGCAACTCAGCACAGCAAAAGGCGGTGCCTTAGACAACGCAATGTTTTTTGGATCTAATTATTTTTACATGTTGTTTAACACTGCAGCATTATGACAGCCACTGGTCTATAATCAAGTCTGGGCCAGACAAACCAGTGGTTGATATCATGAGCAGCAATCCAAGCAATTGGGGCAAGGAAGGCTTAAAAACATAAAAGAATTGGTTGAAATTATAGTGTGGAGGGTGGTGTATTTTTTTTGTATTTTCTTGTTCAAACTAGTATGTAACCAAATAAACATTGCGTTCAATCAAACTGGAAATGGGCCTCGTTTACATAAACAAGCATAAAAAACTCCTATTGCCGCCAGGACAATAACACGAGATGTGCAGAAGAGCAGGGAGCAATATAAAGGGAAGTAACTGCGTACTATATTGGATCTCATTGTTTAAAGTACAAGGATTTTTATTTTTTGGGGGAAAATGGAAATTTAAACAAAATGTGCGGCAGACTTTATGATGCAACAGGCAGTGCCTGAGAACCAAGACACACAATCAACAACTTCACCAAGTCTGTCAACCCAATCCATAAATCCTCTCTTGGCTGTATGTTTGTGTTTGTTTCTTGGTTAATGCCGCACTCAGCAACATTCCAGCTGACCCGTGAAGATTCCAGGATAGAACAGGTCTTCAGCAACCCATGCTTGCTGTAAAAGGTGACTATGCTTGTCGTAAAAGGTGACTAACGGGATCGGGTGGTCAGGCTCGCTGACTTGGTTGATACATGTCATCGATCCCAATTGCGTGGATCGATGCTCACGATGTCAATCACTGGATTGTCTGGTCCAGACTCGGTTATTTTACAGACCGCCGTCATAAAGCTGGAATATTGCTGAGTGAGGCGTTATACAACAAACAAACAAACAAACATTCCAGCTATATGATGGCAGCCTGTGAAAGAAATTTTTGTACCAGACAATCCAGTGATCAATATGTTTTTGTTTGTTTTGTTTATTTGTTTAACGCCGCACTCAGCAATATTCCAGCTATATGACGGCGGTCTGTAAATAATAGTCTGACCAAGACAATCCCGCGAAACCATGTCAGTGAGCCTGACCACCCGATCCCGTTAGTCTACACTTACGACAAGCATAGTCGCCTTTTACGACAAGCATGGGTTGCTGAAGACCTATTCTACCCCGGATCTTCTCGGGTCAATATGTTAGAATAAATCTGGGTATGAGGACATGCTGTCAATCCAGTCACTGAACCTGACCTACTGATCCATCAAGTCACCTCTTACAACCAGCATAGGTTGCGGAGGACCTATTCTATCTCAGAACTCAGATTATGCTATGATAGCTCCTGATGCCTACCTGGCCCGACCCCGACCCCGACCCCGACCTCGACCTCTGCCGACAGACTTCTTCCCTTGGGGCAGTTCCAGTTGATGCAGTAGACCCTCCCGCTCTCTCCTGACAAACAAACAAAAGGATCACACTTAAATACACTCAGTGAGTTTGAGTGAGTGAGTTTGATTTTACGCCGCCTTTAGCAATATTCCAGCAATATCACGGCGGGGGACACCAGAAATGGGCTTCACACATTGTACCCATGTCAGTCTCGAACCCAGGTCTTCGGCGTGACGAGCGAACACTTTAACCACTAGGCTACCCGACCGCCCACTAAATACACTCAGAGTTTAGTCTTTGCCAAAACCTCATGTTTTGGTTTGGTTTGTTGTTTAACGCCGCACTCAGCAATATTCCAGCTGTATGACAGCAGTTTGTAAATAATCAAGTCTGGACCAGACAATCCAGTGATTAACATCATGAGCAACTTTAAACAAATAATAAAATGTCTGAAAATTACCAGTTTCAATGCAATGAGGTTATCTCTGAAGTAATATAGTAAGATCTATGTATCATTCACACAAATTCAGTCACAATTCTCCCTTTTTTGTGTGAATAATTCGAGACAAAGTTGCCACACACAAAAATTTAACCTCAAGGCAAAAAGGAAAGGTGAATTCCCGATGGTAACACACAAGCTAACTGTTCACAGATTTATAAGGTACTTTATTTGCTGGTCCACAGGGACTGGCAGTCATATTAATTACCGAACCAAGCCTAATTTTACCGGTAAAAAACTGCTAATTACCGGAACATTGTGTTTATCTCCTTATTAATCATTAACCAAAACGAAAGCAAATAAAAAAATAATCCAAGTTTTTTTTCCCTGAGTTTGTTTCGTATTTTATTATTGTTGATTCAATTAAACGACTGATGATCTATTGAACTTGATCCTATCACTGCGTTGATCGAAGGACGTATCATCTATGAAATCAATATCAACCATTAATCAGTAACTTAATTGTCGGTAACTGTCACACGCTATGACTCGACCACGACAATGCTCGAAAACCGAACAATCACTGAACGAAATCGGAAGTATTTCATCACAGTCAGACAGTCACTCACATTTTGAATTCTTCCATCGGGCACATGGTCTGACATCTGCCTACAACACGAGGCACTTCGTCCATGTTGATCAGCGCTCAATGAACTGGAAATGGAACATGCCCGTGTTTACTTTCGGTGAGCGCTCATCTTTAAAGGGAAGTAACTTCGCCAACTGCCAACCGCTAAGAAGTACTTTTTGTCAATCTGCTTGCAAGCGTTTTTCCACCTGTTCTTATCTGGGGCCAAAAAATTGAATCGCTATTGTAGATTGTAGGGGTTATAGCGAAAACGGCACCTCAGCAAAACGTCACCGGGAGAAAACGGCACCGATTGGCGAAAACGGCACCTCGTCTCAAGCGAAAACGGCACCTTATTAGTTTACACCTTGGTCAAATAAATGATAATAAACTTACATTAAAGAAGTAAGAAATTAGACCCCTTCTCCAATTTACTCGCCGAATCTGATTGGTAGGCGCAGTTAACTTATTGTGAAAACACTATACGCGTTGAAGTTTTAAGTACTTTTACTCCATTTGAGCTGAAACTGAACCTAAAATGGTGCTGTCAGATCACAATTATTCATAATGGCCTTTCGACGTGTTGCATGCGAGAAGAATGTCAGAGAAAATCAACATGCTGTATCCTGTGATAACTGTGACCAGTTGACCCATCGTGTATGTGGAACCGGACTTTCTGTGGCCCTTTCCGCTGTTTGAGATGCGTAGATCCCATCATTGAAGAGGTGATCGGTAACTTTGATGTCAGTTTCCAATCGGAACATGCAGAAGAAATGAGAGTACCAAACCAGGTACCAGGACAGTGTTGACAGTAATTCAAGTCCGAGTTGAGGTATTAATATTGTTGTTATAACTGATTGGTGTAATTGTTCTCGGTAATTTACAATAAGCTGTCAATTACATGTTGAATAGTTTATTGTTACAGTAGAGTTATTGAACGTATTATGTTTTAGGTAAAGGAACAAGCTGTTGAAAACAGCTACAAATCGGGCGCCAGTATCGTTGTAGATGCTCAACAGAGACTCGTCGACCCTGACCAGGCTGGTGTGATGGACGCCAAAACTACTCAACCCTCACTGAACCCGCGAACTGTTGCGCCCCAAAGTGCCGAGGACATTGGACATGGAGGTACAAATAATAATAAAATAAACTACATAATGCTATTGTATAAATTCTCAGAATAACCGCAATATTGTAACATAACGAATATTGTTTTTTAACTTCTATTCATATTTTCAGATAGCCGAGGACTCCTTACCTGTCCGTGTAAATACATCACATACAGCCAATAACATGTAAATACATCAAATACCATGTAAATAAACCATATATATTACTAAAAAAATCGTTCTTATCATTATTAAAAATAGAGGTGCCGTATTAACAGATTAAAATAAAAAATGCAGCAAAGAGGGCTTGGGTGATCCTGGCACAGTCAGACTGGTTAGGCTCATCATCAGCTCAGGGCCCTTGCCCCCTCTACACGCAGCCCAGACAGCGAATGGGACTTCTCCCAGGAAGCGCTGACTAGTTGAACCCACCCAGAACTTTTCGGAGAATGTGAAGACTCCCCAACACTGCAGCCTTCTGCATTACCCAGATTGTCAGAAGGGCTGTATTCCTGGTAGCAAACCCGGGTACTCTCCTAATGTCAGTCAACAGATTGGGAGGTACCAAACCTAAGGCACCGAGAACAATGGGGAGTCGGAAAACTTGGTACTTGGGATGCAAGCGTGACATTTCGAAAGCAAGGTCCGCATATTTGCCATGTTTTTCCTCAATCTTGTCAATCACATTAGTGTCATAGGGGACAGAAAATTCAATGACATAAATGATTTCATTGGATTTATCAAAAAGGACAAGATCAGGTTTGTTTGCCTGGATACGTCTAAGGCTGTGAATGGGCCTATTCCAAAGAATTTTGTATTTATCATTTTTCCATGACGCACTCTACATATTCCGGGTCGTACCATGGGTGGACCTCTGTGTCAAAACCACAAGCATGGCGAAGACGGTAATAAAATGATCGAGCTACACCATCATGTCGTTTAAGATACTGTGTTTGTGCCAACGCTGGGCATCCACTGACAATGTGTTGGAAAGTCTCATTAAATTCATTACATAATCTATATTTCATATTTACATTTTGATGCAAAATCATACATTGACGGTTTCGAGTGGGAAGTGACTGGTCCTGAGCAGCAAACAGAAAGCCTTCAGTTTAACTTTTCAGGCCAGCCGACTTCATCCAAGCGAAGGACTCTGCAGGATTGCTGATCGTTTCAACACACTGCACATAAACTCGATGCAGTGGTCGTTCAGATAGCCTCTCCTTGAAAAACTGAGTCTGTGCCGACTTGATATGGCACTTCACCTGGTTGACATTCAATTCTTTACCGCCCAGCAGTACAGAACCATCAACAAAATCATCACCGACCTAGAGATTATGTCCCACATCTTTGGCTCGTTTTAGAAAACTGTGGAATGCCTTGTTTTCATCATGAGTCTTGACATGCTTCACAAGAGGATTATCAGACAAATAAATGTGTGCAAAAGTGCACAAAACAATTCAATCATGAAGAGCCCAAACGTTAATCAAACCACGTCCTCCAATAATGATTGGTAAATATAAGCGATTGAGGGAAGAGCGAGGGTGGTGGGATCTATTGTCTGACATGATTCTTCGTGTGAGGGTGTCAATACCCTGAATTTCTTGTTTCGTCCAATCAACAACACCAAAAGAATACGAAAGAACGGGTACAGCATAAGTATTTGTGGCTTTGATTTCAGCTCTGAATGCCAGATTTTCTTAAGATTACATTTGTTTGTACTCTGCCTGAAGTGTTTCTTTGATATGGGCATTCTGGAGTTTGTCTCTAACCTGCATCCCTAAGCATGTATAGGCCTGCCCTTCCACAAGATGGTCAATAACTCTTCCCTCAAGTACACTGACGGATCCCCCCTCTTCTATCTTGCGACCCGTGAAGATTCCGGGGTAGAATAGATCTTCAGCAACCCATGCTTGCCGTAAAAGGTGACTATGCTTGTCGTAAAAGGCAACTAACGGGATCGGGTGGTCAGGCTCGCTGACTTGGTTGATGCATGTCATCGATCCCAATTGCGTGGATCGATGCTCATGATATTAATCACTGGATTGTCTGGTCCAGACTCGATTATTTACAGACCACCGTCATATAGCTGGAATATTGTTGAGTGCGGCGTTAAACAACAAACCAACCAACCAAATCTTCTACCTTGCCACGATCATGAAGAATGTTGCATTTGTCGAGTCCAAAGGGCGTGCTCAATCATTACTTGTACACATCAATCTCTGTACACTTTCAATTCTACCTTTCATTCTCATAGCGTTAGCATTCGCACTTTAAGGCCTGGACGATGCCGTTTAAAAAATAGTGGTTGACGTAATTGCAGCTGAAAACTCCAAAAACTTCTTGTATTGTGTTGTATCTTCTATTCGATCCTGAATTGTTTGATAGGCCTTACCTAGAAGTTGACGGATGATAAAGTAGAGATAATTTATGGATAACAACTTCTTTATTCACTGTAAAGGCGACGTTTCTGTACAGATCTTGCTTGACAACGGTGGATGGATCTATACCGAAACGTCTTCTTTACAGTAAATAGTTGTCATCCATAAATTATCTCTAGTTTGCTATTCGATGCTATACATCATTTAAAATCGAAACCATTGTTTGGCTTTGATAATACATGTTTTTAAATGTAAATTAATAGTTTACAATCATGTGTTTTATTTGCCCCAAATAAGTGTCTGGATAGTTGCGAATTGAAGATTGTAGCACATCACGATCAGCAGGGTGACCGGGCTGTCCCACTGTTGGCAGTGGTAGTAGCAGTTGCAGTTAAAGTTGTTGTGGAAGTAGTAGGAGTAATGCCCCCGATCCCACCCCAAGCCAGAAGATGGAATAATGAAGCAAAACACCTCGCAACATTTTATCATTTATTACAACACAATATTATGTAATGTATTAGAACACAATATTTATTAAAGACATGCAAGATGTAACTAAATGCCAATCCACTCTGATCAGGATACAGACTTCCTTCCTGAATAGGAGCATGAGGTAAAATAGCGGCGATCCACAAATTGCATCTTTAGGGAAGGGTCTATTCTGTCCTATAACAAATTTGAAATGTAAACATGTACATGAATTACAAGAAAAGTCTCCGGTAATCACATAGCACTGAAAACCCAGTAGTAGTAGATGAAATACAAGAAAAGTCTTTGGTAATCACACAACACTGAAAACCCAGGAGTAGTAGATGAAATACAAGAAAAGTCTCTGGTAATCATACAACACTGAAAACCAAGTAGTAGTAGATGAAATACAAGAAAAGTCTCCGGTTATTACATGGCACTGAAAACCCAGTAGTAGTAGATGAAATACAAGATAAGTCCCCGGTAATTACATAGCACTGAAAACCCAGTAGTAGTAGATGAAATACAAGAGAAGTCTCCGGTAATTACATGGCACTGAAAACCCAGTAGTAGTAGATGAAATACAAGAAAAGTCTCCGGTAATTACATAGAACTGAAAAACCAGTAGTAGTAGATGAAATACAAGAAAAGTCTCCGGTAATTACATAGAACTGAAAACCCAGTAGTAGAGGATGAAATACAAGAAAAGTCTCCGGTAATTACATGGCACTGAAAACCCAGTAGTAGTAGATGAAATACAAGAAAAGTCTCCGGTAATTACATAGAACTGAAAACCCAGTAGTAGTAGATGAAATACAAGAAAAGCCTCCGGTAATTACATAGCACTGAAAACCCAGTAGTAGTGGATGAAATACAAGAAAGGTCTCCGGTAATTACATGGCACTGAAAACCCAGTAGTAGTAGATGAAATACAAGATAAATCTCCGGTAATTACATGGCACTAAAAACCCAGTAGTAGTAGATGAAATACAAGATAAGCCTCCGGTAATTCCATAGCACTAAAAACCCAAAGAGCCATACTGATACTTAAGGTAGTTTTCTCGTATTGTGCAAACGACGACTCTGTAGATTTTACGAGAGAAAAAAAATATGAATGTTATTATTGACTGTACGTCTTGATTGACTGACTGTAAAATATTTGCTGTCTCAAAGAACATCAAAGCCACAC